CCTTACCTTACCTGAAACAGAGTAGTCTGGCCTTGAGTTACTCTTGGAGCTTCAGTAGGGGGTTTCAGAAGGGCATGTATTCAAAACTAAGTACATCCCTTCATACTTGTCCCTGTGGCCTTTCCACAGAAGCTGGCACACACTCAGAGGTCTAGCAAAAGCCGTACCACAGATGGCAAATCTCCAGTTCTGAAGACTTGTGTATCATAGATAGGCTAGTGGGCTGCCTCTCATTCTGCTTCCAACATACCCACAAACCGGTTGGGTAGCAGCATAGCTGAGTAGCAACACTCTTTAGCTCAGGTGGAGCACCACATTAATGAAGCTCTTCTGCTTTTGGTACCCAGGCTAGGTATGGTATCTCTGCACAGCACTGCATTGTGCCATGGAGACAATCCCTTTATTTGCTTACTGATGATATCACAATGTCTGTCCAAGCAGTGCATAGTTTTGAAAGATTCAGAGGGTTAAAGAGACAGCAACAGACTTCAGCAGTGTTTTATCATTGTTTGCGGTTTCTAAAAGGGTGTCAATAAATTTGGGTTACTTACTTTGCAGCTCCCAAACTTTACTTGCATGTATGCAAGAAAAAAGATGCTTTTTTCCCTTTCAGAGTCAGCCTCAATCCACACTTTTGAGAGATAGGACACATGAAACAATTAATGAGGAAGTTGATTTCTTTTGTTGAAGTTAATGAAGCAATGGTAATAATAATATCCAACTCAGGTAATGATCTGCTCCTCCCCACCATAGAATATGAGCTCCTCAGAATTTTAAGTGCATTTAATCTACAAGGTAGGAGAGTGCTATTATCTCTGCCATATAGATGAGGAACTACAGTGTTGAAAAGCCAAGTGCATTTGCAAGAGTCGTGCCAGATGTCTGGTAGAGCAGGGAATTGAGCGCATATCTCCCAAATCTAGGGCTGCATCCTAACTACCGGGCCAGCTTGTCCAATAGGGCTGCCCTTCTCCTGCTTCGGTTTCACCAATAGTACAAGCAAGTTTACCTCTCTGAACTTGATCTGAGTTTCACCCATTTATACCAGCAGTAAATTAAGCTTTGAGCTTTAATGAAACATGGGGACAAAGGATGATAACAGAAGCTGTCATTCCTCAAGGCATAAACCAGTCTCAGTTACTAGGAGAAAAGTTTTCCTGAGGGAAAATTATTTTTAAGATACCTAATGTAGATTTTCTTGAGCTTTCTAAAAAGGCTGGTTCAGGGAACTGCCAGTGCCAGGGTTCTCCTGGACTAAGTGGACCACAGATTTGGAAATTCCTAGGTCCCTGTTCCAAAACTCCTCCTATGCCTCTAAATCTGATTAGTTCACCCCAGCACAGGGTCTGCCTATAGACATGCTTGTTCATGTTGAAACATTCTAATTAGACTGATCCAGTGTCACCTCACCATCACATGTATTAGGTCCCCACATGTTTCAAAATGGCTGTGGGGGCACTTTATCTAAACCTTGTCTATTGAGCTTTAGATGAAGCATCCTGCAGCCATTTTGAAATGTGCAGGGGCTTAATACACATGATGGTGAGCTGTTTTAATTAGAGCAGCTGTCTGGGAACTGCTCTAACTAAAACACCCGCACCCCTGAGCACATGTATAGGCAGCCATAAGGTCTGATAATGCATCCTTCATGGGCCTGTAGAAGCTTCTCCTTTGGTTTTCAATGAGGAGTCACTCGCAACTGATGCAAGATATTCCAGAGTACACTGCTTCCTCCCACTCATCTCTATATTTTTTTCTCTGAGCAGATGAACAAAAAAGAGTTTCCATGTTCATTACTGAATGTCATTATTTATGGCAAGCTGTCACAGATGGAGACAACAGCTCTATGTTATATTTAGGGTGTAGCTTCTGCCTGTCCATATAGACAATTGGTAATTAGCACAAGAACAATTTGTTTGTCTCTTTTCAAACTTCAACAAATAGGAAATGAGTCTGTCAAAATGCAACTAACTCCCACCGCCAGATCTACAGGGTTAGTTGTTTAAAGCTTATTGCCTCAGACATTTAAATAAAGATAAATCCTATTCATTTGGGCAAATGTGCAGTAAAATACACTGGGGTACTTGGTGATGATTTAGCCTTCAGGTCTAAGAACAAATGAGACACATAAACCAGTGTAAGTGGTCAGAAGCTGGTTTAAACCTGCAACAGAACATAAGTTCAGTGCACATAAACCAGTTTCAAAATGACCCAAAACAGTTTGAGATAAATCTGGTTGAAAGTAATATCAGACGTAACTGATTGAAGTCAAACCAGGTTATAAAACCTCTGTCCCAGACTCCTTCCTGTTTAAGTTAAATCAGAATCCCCCAGAGTCCCCCAGCATGCCACAGGCTAGTTGCTGCCCACGACCCATGGCCACAGGGCCAGGCCAGACTAAGCTGTGGCAGTTCATTGCCTCCCCCCCACCTCTGCCTATGCCCCTGGCCCACGGCAGCCCACCCCAAGGACCCAGTGCTGCTGCAAGCAGGCAGCAGGTGACAGGGAGAGGGAGGTGGGTGGGGAGCCATGCTTCAGCTGCAGCTGCCTGCAAGCTTTGGCCCCTGCACCTGCCTCAGCATTGGGCACCTCTCATCACTCCTCCAAGGGACTTGGCCCAGGCACTGCAGCACAGGCCCTGGCTGAGGGGCTCTTCAGCGTGAGATGGAGCCGGCACTGTGTTGGTGCCTGCACCACTCCCCCCTTTCCCTCAGGCCACCAGCATCTGGCTGCAGTGGCCCTGGGTGCACAAGAGGAGCCTGTCAGTGCCTGTAGTGCCCCCCTGCAATGGGCAATGGGAGAATTAAACCCCTCTTCCCCTCACTACTGGGGTCTGGCCATGCTCCTGCTACTGGAGCAGCGAGTAAGTGAGTGGGGATGGAGGGGCTGGGGACCCCTGGCAGGGGCTGCTTCCTCCCTCCCCCTCCAGGCACACCTGGACTGGGGTCCCTGCAGGCCAGGGTGGGGGTTTAAACTCCTTCCCAATCATACTCAGGCCTGCCAGGGCCTGGCCATGCCCTGCCTCCCCACCCCCAAGCACAGCTTCCCTGCAGCCCAGGGCTTGCTCTAGCACTTCCGGGCCTCTAGCCTGAGCCACTGCAGGCATGTGCCTGCATTTTCAGAATCAAAAGTGAATGTCTACCCACTTGCAAATTTGTTCAATCTACACATGTTAGACTAACCTTCAAAGACTGAATCAATTCAGGCTTCGGCTTTCTGAATGTCTGTCCCTAGCCCAGGTGACTGAAATTCATTAGAACATAACAGAGTGCAAAATGATGATGTCATAGATACTGAAATGTACTGTTGGACATGCAGTGTCACAGTGGAAATGTGATACATCCTTCACCAGGTAAAATTGAGTGTTATTATAAAAGCACTTAACATACATGTCAGGAAAGATGTTCTTTCTATAAACACTGTACAGTCTAACTCAGGGGTGGGCAAAATATGGCCCGCAGGCCAAATCCAGCCCATGAGGCCATGCTATCTGGCCCACAGAGCCCCTAAAAAATTTAGAAAATTAATATTCATCTGCCCTTGGTTCCTATCAAAAATGACAGGAACCAAGGGCAGTATGACCCGGGGGAAGCCCAGTGGGCCCCCACAGCAGCAGGGCCCACCCAGCCCTGCCCCCCCCAGCCAGAAGCCCCAGCCGGGGCTTCTGGCCTGAGACCATGTGGCTGCCCTGGCCAGAACTGCAGGTAAGGGGGAAGGGTGAGGAGGGCAGAGGAGGACCCCGGGCAGGAAAGGAGCCCAGGGAAAAGTGGTCTAGGGAAAAACTGAGCGCCATGGAAGTGGGGAAAATGGCCTCTCAGCTGCCCCAGGGCCAGCACACCGTGCTGCAGCTGCTCGCTGCAGGGAGTGCCGGCTGTGGGACGGGGGGGGGGCTGCTTTTCCCCACGCTCAGCTTTTCCCCAGGCTCCTTCCCGGCATGGAGAAAAGTGGCCCCTCTCCCACGCCGTGGCTGGCACCCCATGCTGCAGCCACTCGCAGCCTGCATGGGGCTGCTTGTGCCTGCTCCGGACAGCCCCGGCCATGGGGCAGGTGAGGGGCCACTTGTCCCCATGCTCAGCACCACCTTCTTCCCTGCCAGTGAGCAGGAGGTCGGAGCTGTGCGCTGCCCCCCACCTGTACTGCAAAGCTGGGGGGCACTGGGAGCCAGTGGGAACATGGGGCCACACCAGTGTCCTGGGGCCAGTGCTGGCGGGGTCCAGAGCAGGGTGGCAGGAGCGCAGGGTCCCAGTAGGCAGGGGCTTTATGGAGCTGGGCCAGCTCACCCCTCTCCCTGTTGGTGCAGCCCAGCCCAGCTCCACAGACCCCTGCCAAACTCGCCTTGCTTTGGGCCCCACCAGTGCTGGCCCTGGGACATTGGTCCTAAGACATTGGGACATTGGTCCCAAGATGGTGACCAGGGGATGGGGCACCTGTCAAGGGGCGAGGCTACCCATGTGGCCCTGGACAGCCTGCCAAAACTGGGTACACAGCCCTCCACCCGAAATAATTGATGATCCATGTGGGTCCATCTCTACATCAGCATGCAGTTCTACTAGGGGATGCTTACAATTTCCACAGGAGCCCAGCTGGAGTCACATGAGCTGCATAAGGGTTATTGAGATGTGCCTGTATGGACCACCTTGCAGGATTGTGCCTTAAAAAGATAACACACAGACAAGAGTATAAGAGGCAGAAGGGACATGATATGAGGTTTATGGTATTAATCTCAATCTCAAGAGACACTGGGAAAGGCCAAAAGTGAAATAAGTGCATGTAAAATTTCTGGAGCTGGGCAGAGCAGAGGGGCTGAATCTGAGGCAAGCTGCTTTGCCTCCATTTCAGAATCACTTAGAGCCCTGAGAAAAAAGATCCTTGCTCATTGTTTTTCTTCAGGGTGAGCCTTGTTTGACCTTGGAGGTGCTTCATCTTCCCAGCCATGTCTCAACTGGGGGAATACAAAATATCAGTCTTACTAATGAGGAGTTTTTTCTCCTGTCTTTCAGCTCACAACCCCGAATTTCCCTGTAGTGGTCAAGCTGGGACATGCCCATGCTGGAATGGGGAAGGTAAGACAAGGAAAAACCTTACAGATCATGCACATGATTTACAGCCTGACAAGGACAGGACTATGTAACCTGCACCCAGGTGGGCAACATAATGGGGATTAAATTAAAGGGAGTCTCCCAATTGTCTGTCTGGGCTGCTTTTGCTGCCAGTGTGGGTGGCAAGGGCTTTCAGCTGTGGCTCATTCAGAGTCAGGGATAAATAAAGTGGTGGCAGCATGGTAGGGCTGGTTTGGAGATTCTTTGAGGGAAGGGAGGGATGGTGTTGATTAGTGAGGGAGAAAGGTCAGCTCTAGCTGTCTAAAGACAGATTGGTCATTTGTGAATTTCCTTCCCTGCTGAAAAGGGAAACCCTATTTATTTAAGCATCTATAATGTGCAGCCAGCCTATGCCCTAAAATGCTCATGGGGGAAGGAAGCAGCCTTGATCTTATTAAGTCTATTATTGCTTGATTTAGCAAAATGGGTGCCCTTCAGTTATTTTCCCTCTTTGGTAGGGGGAAACAGGGCAGCTTCCTCAGACTGTACAAAGCAGGCTGACTGCTTGGTAGCCTGCCAAGAAAGGAATCCTGAAAAACTGTTCCCTCCCCAAAAGAACCTGTTTGCTTTTCCCAGGCTCCCTGGAATCCTTTTTCCTTTCATGAATTAACAGACCTTGTTCAATGGTACGAGAGGTTGGCAACAGGCCTTACAAATAAACACAGCAGATATGTTCCCTATGCATGCTATACTTGCTCCTAGTTGCACATACTATCAAGGCGTCAGGAATATAACTTGTTGGGACTTGGGAAATTGCCTATTCTGATTCTTCTTGGAATACGAACAGAAGCTGAATGAGAATGATTTAACTCCCCTAGCCTTAAATGTTTCATAGAGAGAGAGAGGTCTTTATATTTTTCCCCTCTTAATATCACTTTTTTTGTCTGACCAAACACATGTGCAAGCCCCAGACTTGATATAACTTTTTATGCCTAGGTTCCTGCCTCATATATGGAAACTCCTTATCATTTTCCAGGGGCCCTAGTGTTCCATATGTCTGCTTAGCAGTTGCCTAAGTGGAAGCTGACCAGAGTCCCCAGGCAACTGCTAGAGTTGACTTCAGCATCAAAGAACACATATGTATATAAACAGGAAAGCCAGATTAAATTAATTTAGCTGTGTATTTTAAACCATCCCAGCTGCTATTGCATTACAGTATTGTACAGCCTCAGTGGTGTCATGCTGGCTGTAGGTGGAGCCACTGACTATGGACTTGTGATCTCCTTAGCCAGTGAAATCAGATTAAAACAAATTACAACACAGATGTGTATATATAATTCTTACCCTAAGCAAAGGTTTCCAGCTCCCTTGGGCAGGGTGGGGTATCTCAGGCTAACCACACCACTGGATTTCCCTTATTGCTGCTTTATCACATCTGTAATTCAGGCCATAAATGTGTCATACTTTTGCTGGAAGAATCCCCAGTTGTCCGTTGAAATGGATGAAGAATCACTTAGAAGTCACCCTTTGAGTTCACATGCCTGGTGCATCCCAAAGTACAACAGGACTCGGGACTCCAAGCCAACGCTCTCCCAGTGGGATGTTTAGCCAGTGTTGTCTGTACCGGGCATCAGATTTTTCCCCTTCCTTAATCTTTTTTTTTAATAGAGTACTATAATTCTATAAGATCTTGAGAATGAGGTCACTCTCTAAATAAGTTATACCAGATATGTATGCCATTAAAAGAAGTATTTCTACCAAACATTTAGTAAACTTAGTAAAGTAAGGTTGTCAGGGATGGCTGAACCCTGCAACAGGGTTGACACT